TTTAAGAAACATACAGGTCACCTGGAAATTTTGTTGAAATGCAGATATGAATATACAGATAAAGGATGAGATCTGAGAGTCTGCATGTGTAACAAACTTCCCAGTGAGAAGCAAGGATATAAGCTGCTGTGCTATTCAATATGGAATCCACCAGCTGCATGTGACTATTTAAATTCAAATTAGCTGACAGTAAATAAAATTCAGTTCTGGTGTGCTAGTCATATTTCAATATGACTATATTGTCAATATGACTATATATAGTCAATATAGTCTATTGACTATATATATTCAATATGACTATAATGTGGCTACCATAGTGGTCAGCACAGATCTAGGACATTTCTATCACTGCAGACAGTTATCCTGGACAGTGCTAGACAGCATTTAGGAAACTGCAATTAATTCAGCATGGGAAGATCATAATAGGTGTGTGGAAACTGGGAGGTAATTGAAAGACAGATAGGGAATTGGTAGGATGTTTGTCTAGTTTCTGGTGCCATTGAAAATCCATTTAGGATTTCTAATGAAGGTAACAGCAACATGGAGGAATACCAGGGCAGGGAAGACTTGTGACAGGGAGGCTGAGTGCAGACTACTTCAATGGCCAGCAAATAGATGATGGAGCCAGAACTAGCTAATAGGCAGGGTACAGAAAGAAGACGACCCATGGATGGCCAGTTGGAAGAAATGATTAAATAGAAGAGGGTGAGAAAGAAGAAGCTTGAGAAATAAGGGAGGAAACTAAGGGAGAAAAGCATTTAGTCTGAGTCCTGGACTGCTGAGCTAAGGAATTTTTATTGTTCTTTTCAGATAAAAACCACTATTGATGAGGCTAGCCTTGAACTCTTGAACTCAAGTGATCCTCCTGCCTCAAGGACTAAGGAATAATTATTGCTCAAGACAGAGGCCATAAAAAGAATATGTAGTGTTGGAAGAACAGAATAAACTCCATTTGGGACAGCTGATTTTGTGGTGTCCCTAGGACATCCAGATGACCATGTCTGGATTACTGAGTATAAGGGGCCCGAAGCTGGAAAGAATGGTGTGGGGTGGAGGTAAACAGGCAGGCCAAGACCTAGAATTGGAATTCTAGGTCTGTCATAGGTTGCATGGTATGAGAAAGTCACGCAGGCTTTCTTTCCTGGCCTCCATTTATAATCTCTAAAATGGAGACAATGGTATTTTTATGTAAAGGACTAAATGCTACAATTGTCTCGTATGTACTCATTCCATGGTGCTAACATTCTTATTGCCCTTATGTTATTATTTTAAGAATTAGACATAACGTGCAAAGTGCCTGGCACTCAGTACTTGATTTTTATTATTGTCATACCTGGGAAACTGGTCAGCCAGAGTAAACAGTAAGAAGAGAAGGGAGTTGAGAAGAGATGCAGCCAGAACCAGCACTTGAGGGGTGAGTCAGAGGAAGAAGGGCTGGCACAGGCATTAGAGGAAAGCTAGAGAAGAGCAGAGACCAGCCACTCAGAGACAAGGAAGGAGCCGACAGTTGTGTCAAATACCACAGAAACTGGCTAAGTTAAGGGCCACTGCACTTGGTCACTTGGAGTCCACTGATGACATTAGAGAGCACAATCTAAGAGAACTAGGAAGGAAGGAAGTCAGACTATGCACGAGGAATGAACAGGACTGAGGTGATGATGAAGACACGTAGGTGTAGTCTTTTCTGACGGCTAGTTAGGAAGGGGAAGAACAAAGGTGGTATCTGGGAACTGGGGGATATTTGATGGAGGGAAGGTTTATTCAGGTTCAGAGTCAGAGAGTAGATAAAAGCCAGATAGAGGAAGTGAGAAAATAGCCAAAAAGAAATAGGTTTGGGATCTGAGGAGATGGCAGAGATAGAACCCAAGGAAATGGGTTAATAATGATCAAGAGATGATGTTTATTGAACCAAGTGTTTAGGGACTATGAAGATGTTAGATTTCCATCAGGACTGTCAACCTGTCTCCTATGGCTTTTCACTGCATTCCTATTCCTCTAGTCCCTTTGTTTAATTTTTAGCAGACTAAATTTAAATAGACTAAATTCTCTGAGTAATCAGACCCAATAATAAATCCAATTCATGTAATTGCTTTTAAACTCTATTCCAAGCTTCTTTTTGTGTGTGTCTGGGGGCGGGGATTGAACCCAGGGCCTCCTACATGCTGAGCAAGTGCTCTACCTAAACTTAACTCAAAAGCTAATACATATCTAATTCTAATTAATCATATATTTTGTCAAAATAATATTTATATTAGGAAAACATTTCTCCTTTAAGGCAAGGAAACAGTTTTACTATTTCAAAAGAACTGAATTTGTCATCCCTATTGAATTTAGAATTTGGCCAGAGGAGTGAAACCTTTAGGTCCAGGTAGGTTTCTTCTAAATTCAGGTTATATATATACTATACAATTCTTTCATTACCTCTTACCATTTGTGTTACTTGTCTGGGGAGAAGACATTCTGTATAGCTACCATCAAGCACTACCAAGTTGCCACTGAATTCTTTTTCTGTTTTTTTTTCTTTGGTATGGGGGATTGAACTCAGGACTTTGCACTTGCCAGGCAGGCGCGGTGCCACTAAGCTAAATCCCTGGCCACTGAATTCTTGAATTAGTGACCATACTGAGAAGAGTTATTTATTTGTTCTATGATTCCTCCTTCGCAGATCGGTCACATTAATTGCCATAAATAAAGGTAATCTCTCCCCATATCCAAAGGGACAATAAGAAGAACAGATTCAGACTAAAGACCTGCTTGGGAGACTGAGGTAAGAGAGGTAAAGGGTCTGTAAAGGGTGTTCCTTCTTCCACTTCAGTAGAATACTATGAATATCTGTAAGGTGATGGCTGGCTGCTAGAATTTATTGTTAAACTTTAATTTCTTCTTCTCACCAAAATGACCTTCATCATATCCTAAACCACCCCTACATCAGATCCTATCATTTTCTTCTTCAAAACCACGTGAGCAGTTTTTCATCATTCTTGGTATAAAACAGTGATGGTGAACCTTTTAGAGACAAGTGCCCAAACTGCAATGAAACCTTTAGACTGAGGTTGTAGTTTAGAAAAAACAACTCATATATGAACATCTTTTGCCTTAAAAGAAGAACAAGTAACATTCATGCCATAGGTTTGCCACCACTGGTATAAAATTTAAACTGCAAGGTCTGGCCCCAAGCCACTCCCATCTCAAATCACACAATGCCTGTATCTTTAAATTCCATTTACACTTCGGTTTTTAAGCAGTTCAAGCCCTTTGCTGGTCTACCTTGGGACTCTAGGCAAACTGTTCTTCTCCCTGTAGATCTCCATCCCCTCCCGAGGCACCAAAGGTAGGCTAATTTTTAGTTTCTCTTCCTGCTCTAACCAACACATCAAGGAAAAGCAATGCAGTATAGTGTCTTGAGGGGTTATGCGTTCAGACTGCTGGCATTCAAATCCCAGAACTTGATAGCTACTCTGTGACTGGCCAAATTGCTTAACGTGTCTGTTTCTGCCAAGTACAATTTCGGGATTATCTTAGTCACTTTTCTCCTCGTTGGGACAGAATAATCAACACCCACAATTTAAAGGAAATGAGGTATATTTTGGCTCCTGTTTCAGAAACTTCAGTCCATGTTCAGCAGGCTCAAACACAGAACACAGCAGAGTGGGTTTGCCACACACCGCAAAGCTGTTCATACCATGGTGGCCAGGAAGCAGAAAGGGAGGAAGGGAACCGGAGAGGGAGATAAACCCTTCCATGCCACAGCTCAGTAACCCACGTTCTCTGACCAGAACCCACCTAACTGCAAATCTGCTGTAAGACCAAGGGCCTTACCAAACGCTCCGAGGAGCTGACTATAGTGAAGCACACCCAGGGATCCCAGCGGTGCCTCCAGAATGTAAGACCAAGGCCTTACCAAATGCTCCAAGGAGCTGACTACAGCGAGGACCACCCGGGAAGGAACACACCGGCCACGTTGGGAAAACAGACCTTTATTAGTCTGGCCAGACGGCACTCCCGAAGCAAAATAGCTCAGAGAGGCAACTGGCTCAGAGTCCGAGGCTGTTTTATAGGGGGTTGGGGGGGGGGGTTAACATGTAGATTTACAGAAAGAAAAGAGGTTAGTGGCTCACTGTCACATGCTGATGGTCAGCAGACATCCTGACTAATAGTCACGACCACCCTGTGTGGATAGTCAGCACATTTACAGATTGTCCTATAGTGGGCCCCGGGACATTTGGTTTTAGGGCAAACAGATGGCTGAGTAATCTCGCCCTATTACTGATTGTCCATTGTCCGGAGGCAAACACACTCCAACAACAGAACCTAGGGGAGTAATTAACTTTTGAATCACACAGTCCCACACTGCTATAGCCTGCATAATCCAATAACCTTCCCACATGAGGCTTTGGGGGTCACTTTAGATCTAAACCATAAGAAGGATGGTAAGGTATTTTTAAGATTAAATTTGTTAATATAGACTGCAAACATGGCAAGCAGAGGAAGTGTTCGTTTTAGTACATACTCTACTTACACACTTGTTTGCCGAGTTTGAGTCAGTTACCTTGAGGATACTTATGTTGCCCCACCTCATCCCCTGATGATTAAATCTACTCGTTGAACAGTGTGAATGAATTAACTGGGAGCTCGAAGAAAAGGAGTCTGGTCTTTCCAAGTTTAGGAGAGGCCACGTGGGTGATCTTGTTGAACAAGACATGGCGGAAGCCTGGAACACGCACTTGTCTAGTTTAGCTTTAGGAAAGGGAATCTCAGGGCTGATGCCCAGCCGCAGGACCTCCCCAGGACTGTACCCGAGAAAGGCACTCTGGCCTGAGAGAACAAGGTCCACCACCTCCAGGGACTGGTGCAGAGCCTGAAGGATCTGCTCTCAGAAAGATGCTCCCCGAGGGGTCGACCCCCCCGCTGACACAGCAAGGGCCACAAGGACCCCAGCGGAAGACCTACGACAGCCAATAGCCGGGCGTTCCCGCTTCCGTCCTGAGAGCTTTTGGCGATTGGCTTCCCGCCCTGCAGCTCTCCTCCCCGCCCCGTCCCTGCCCAGAGTCTTCACAGGGATTGGCCGATCGTCCCCTGGTCTGTCCCCGCCCCGCGCCGCCTTCCTAGTCTCTGTGCAGTGAGGCGGTCACCGGCCTTTTTGTCCCGGGAGGTTGACGGTGAGTGTCTCCAGCTTTCAGTCTCCAGTGGGGAGGGTTCCTGATCGGCCTGTGGGCCCGGGTAGAGGCTGGCCTCGGCCCGCGTCCCCTCGAGCTTTGCCCGCCCGGAACTCCGCTGCTCCTGGCGGCCAGAACGGAGGGGTAGAGCAGCTCTCCGCGGCCCGGTGGGCGGGCGCCATGCCCGTTCCGGGGCCGCGCGAGACACAGGCGCCGCGCAGGGCCGCCGGAAGTTCCCCATGGCCTGCCGGGCGCCGTGACAAGCTTGCGCCTTGCTTCCACAGGGAGGATCCGGCTCTACTTTTTAGCAGGTTCCTGGCGGGTCTCGCCAGCGGGTCCAAGAACCCGGATCAGGGCGGACCTGGGCCCCCTGAAGTTTATCTACAGCACATGTGGAGGTCAGCAGCCTGGAGTTCCAAATGCAGGTATGTCACTAATTTGGGGTGAAATAAAGCGATTGAGGCCTTGAGCGCATGGCCAGTGGCCACGAGAGGGTTCCCAAGCGCATGGTTTGTGCAGAGGCCCGAAACCGGTACTCCATTAACGGGAAGGAAATTTATGTTCACGGACTCAGCCTTCGGAACAACTGCCTTTAGTTGGTTTTCAGATTGGTTAACAAACAAAACTCTCAGTCGCCCTTTCCTGTGCCCTTTTAAGGTTGACACAGTGCCTTAAGAGGCTAACACAGAAGGGTAAAGGAAGCCTCCATAAAACCCAGAGAAGAGATGGAAAACTCCTCTTTGGAGCCTGTCTGGAGTCACAGCTGAACCAGAGAAATACTAATTAAAAACATCACTGATGTTAGTACATGATATATTTAAAAATTAACCTTTGTTTCTGTACTTACTGGCCAGCCCTGTAGGCTGGTCTGGGATACCAGGTGTTTTCATAATCTGGTATATTTTGGCTTTCTTTTAAGATGCAAAAATACAGAAGATTAGAACATGTGTACTTAGGGATTTTTCTAGAAATGCATTGAGACGAACTGAAGAATATACTTAAATGATTGTTTTCTGCCTTCTTAAACGGGTCATTTTAAAACTTTTCCTTCTTTTTATAGGATGAACACTGCATGTACAAGCCATTGAAGCTGGGGTGCTCCATGCTGATATTTCACCTGACACCAATTGTCACTAGTTACAACAGGAAAGTGCCTCTAAAGAGGTGAGACATTCTTAAGTGTACCTGGTGTGGTTAAAAACAGTGAACGTTGTTGGATGGCATTCGGCCATCCAACAAGAAGGCAGGGATCTTCATTAGAAGAGCACATCGAACCTTAGTAACAGTGTGTGACAAGTTTCGACTTGCTTGGGGCAGTCAGTCAGAGCCACAGTTGAGAGGAGTGTTTTTAAAGTCCCATAAATGATGGATCATGAGCAACGTATTAACATGAAATTTTGTTTCAAACTGCAAAAAAGTGCTAAAGAAACACATGAAATGTTAAAATTAGTATATGGTGATGCTGCAGTGACCAGAAAGACTGTTTACAAGTGGTTTGAGCGATTTCGTAAGGGTTGTGAATCTGTTAACGACGAGGAGAGATCTGGACGTCCTTCAACATCAAAAACTCGAGAGAATGTTGAAAGAGTAAGCGAAATGATTCGATCAAACAAGAGATTGACTATTAGGAAAATTTCTGAGGATCTGAACATTTCTTATGGCACTGTACAAAGCATTTTATCGACAGATTTGAACATGAGGCGAGTGAGTCCGAAATGTATCCATACACAGCCACAGGAGTTAGAGCAGTAAGGCAGTGCCGGTGGTGACAGACAGGGCAGTGTTTCCCTTTCGTTTAACTTACTGACTCTGAGGTAGGTATTATTCTCCCATGTTAAAGATAAATGGTTAGGAGGGAATGCGGGTTCCCACTACCTGTGAGTAGCTCTGAACAAAGAGCCTCACATGCGTGACTGGCTATGTGAGTAATGTGATGCCTTGAGATTTGATGTCTCTGTATAACATAAATATTTATTTAAGTAGATTAGTCCAGTTTGTGGGGAGCAAAACCACACAGCTGTTAAAAATATAAGCATTTCCATAATTTTTTTTCTGGTATTGGGGATTGAACTCAGGATCTTGCACTTGCGAGGCAGGCATGATGCCACTGAGCTAAAGCCCTGGCCCAGCGCCTCATAATATTTTAATTGCATTAACCTAGTTTCCCAAAATTTGTACCAAAAGGAGCATCTGTCAACATGTTAATTTTCAAAATGTATGTGATATAATGTGTAAAAAGGATCTAAAGGATGTACTAGACTAGGACATGTAAGTATCAGAGACGATAGTTTTCATGTGGGAAGAAATGAAAGTCTGGGAAGATGCTCAGAGCCCACACAAGTTCATTCCTTGTGCTGTCTGCATGTCTAGTAATTTGAGATCTTTTTCATTATCTTGTATGCCAATTACATATAATTAATTTTCCAGAAATTTTAAATAAAGATATATTTATTTGATGTCCTTAATGCTTATTTTATAACATGGTTCTGGACTTTTCTATTTAAACTTAATTTCTATCCCTTATTATACTCTTAAAGTACAGCCTCAAATTCTTGAGGACTTCATCCAGCAGATGTTAGCTTTGTCGTAATTGCTGGGACCAGTATGGTGGGAAGGCATTCACAGTTTGTGACACCGCCAGCCAGAGAAGGGCTCTTAAGTATGCAAGACCTCAAATATATAACTGAGGAAGGAACATTGCAGGGAAAGAGAAAAGAAACACAAAGGCACTGAGGAGGGATGTGTTGAAAGGTTTGTACTTATCACATGAGTGATGCACATCTATAGTCCCAGCACTTAGGAGGCTGGGGCAGGAGGATCGCCACAAGTTCAAGGCCAGCCTGGACTGCATGGCGAGACCCTCTCTCAAAGAAAAGGTTTGTATGAAAATTGAAGCAGGAGAGAAATGCTCAAACACCAGCCCTTCCTATATGTGAGTACTCAATCTGAATTTACATAGCATCCTGATGTAACCTTAGGGAAACTTACACATCCTGTGACGTAATACACTTGCCTAACTGCCCCTCATTCTGTAGGTCTTGGACTATTGATACAGTCCTGGTCCATAATGATTTATTACCATATTCTATGTTCTCAAATATTTGACTAGCAAGTCTCATGACTCATAACTAGTACAGGGGTAGCATCGTTCTTTTTGAGCTGAATTAAATATGCTATTTGAGTGAGTGGTGTATAGTACCTATTCATAGGAGTAGCATAGTAAATGCTTAGTTCCAAATCTTACCCTTCCATGTGATTTTTAGATCAGGTCTTAGCTTAAGTTTTTAATAAACTTAATAGTTAAGATTAAAATCATTTACAATATGTAACTGCCTCGTGAGTAGCAAGTACTCAATAAATGTTAGTTGGTAGTACTATTTAATCATTTTTTTTTTTGGTACCCGGGATCAAACTCTGGTCCTTGTGCTTGCGAGGCAGGCAGCAGAACCACTGAGCTAAACCCCCGGCCCCTATTTAATCATTTTTACAATTTGTATGGTCAGTGTGATTTGGAACAAATACGTTTCTATTAGTATTTATGTAATTAGTTTTAATGTTCATAAGTAACAAGGCATTTAACTAGGGCAAATGCTGCTCTAGGTATTATGAACATACCTATGAATAAAGTAGGCTAAAATGTTATATAGTTGGTTGTACATTTCTCTGAATACTGTGGAATACCAGGTTTTTTTAGAATGCTATCTGATTCATTGATAGAGGCTCCAGTGTGAAGAACGTGAAGTTTCCTTACTGCTATTTAGCAATGACAAAACTGGCCTTGTTAGCAAAGTGGGAAGGGTATTGGTAGGAAAAAAAAAAGTCCATATGAGGTGTCATCCTCATGCTATGCTAAGTAGGCAAATTTGAGAGAACGCTAAGTGCTGGTAGAGTAAGAAATGTGCAACACCATCTACATGAACAGTGGTCCATTGAGAACAGGCTGAGGGGATGCCAATGTTTCTAGGTATAGTGTTTTTTTGATATGTATCAGGAATTGAACTCAGGACCTTGCACTTTCGAGGCAGGTGTGGTGCCACTGAGCTAAATCCCTAGCCCTAGGTATAGACATGATAAAAGGTATAAAACTACCAGGATGTGTAAAGTCAGACTGGAGGATCTAGCAAATAGTTTTCAAGAATAATTGCTGGTTTCACAAAGCACTCCTTTCCATCAATCCCTGGTGGTGGTTCTTTGCCCTGGAATTGAGCTGGCTGAGAATGTAGAGGCCCTAGGCTCTCCTCCCTATCCCACTACTCAGCTTCAACCAGTGTGGGCCTAGTCACATTGTTTTTCCAGATTTTGTAGGTAAAGAGGGTTTTTAATACTAAAAAGTTTGAAGTTCATTGGACTAAATTAGGTAAAATACATGAACAGTTTTCTAACCACAGGATAAACAGTGGAGAAAATTTATTTTAGGGTACCTCAGAATTTAGAATTTTAGATGCTAGAACTGCAGCTGTCCAGTATGATAAGCATTAGTAATGTAGCTATTAAAGTGAAATTAAAAATTCAGTTCTTCAGTTGCAGTAGCTACATTTCAAATGCTCAGTAGTTGTCTGAGGCTAGGGGCAACACAGATATGGAACATTTCCATTTCTGCATTTTTATTGGCAGTACTGTTATATACAGGCTTTTTTTTTTTTTTTTAACTGGATTGAACCTAGGGCTTTATTGAGTTACATCTCCAACCTTTTTTATTTTTCTGTTCTTTTTAAAAAATTTAAGACAAGGTCTTGCTAAATTGCCCAGGCTGGACTCACACCTGTAGTCTTCCAGCCATAGCCTCCCTGAGTGCTACAATTACAGGTGTGAGCCACCACACATGGCAAGATTAACAGATTTCAGATGGGAAGATGATTATCCTGGATAATCCCAGTGGGCCTAATTGCAATCACAAGATCCCTATAAGAGGGAGCCAGATGGAGATTACACACACACAGGAAGTAGCCATGTTAAGACAGCAGAGATTGGAAGAAGCGTTTGGAGATTATAGAGTGAAGCAGCCACCAGAAACTGGAAGATAAAAGATAGCCTCCAGGGGGAGTATGCACTTGATTTTGTTACTGGGTTTTGGGGTGCAGGAGTCTCCTAGAGGTGGTTTGAAGGTTCTTTCTGTGTCAAGACAAGCAGAAATGATAGTAAGGTTTTACATTTATTGAAGATAGCAGTCAACCTATTGAAAATCTGCTGGAGTTCTAAGAAGTCCTCAGGCAAGGGCTCTGGGAATTACTCTGCTCATGTCTCCTGGGATTTTGTAAATTAACAAATCATGCCTACTTCCCCAGCTAGTCTGCCACACCCTCCTGGGACTTTGTAAATAACAAGTTATGCCTACTTTCCCAGCTAGCCTTAGCCTACTTTCCTGTCTCAGTTTGGCCTAGGAAAACAACTTCCGATCTTGTGAGAATGAATTTCTATTGTTTTAAGCCACCAAAGTTATGGTAATTTGTCATAGTGGCCACAGAGAACTAACAGAAAAGTTTAAGAGCACAAATAGAGCTGGCCTTGGAACCTCAGCACACCAGCATGCCTCCCCCACTGTTTTTATTAGTGCCTGATGAGTAGGTGGGAGTAGAGCTTATCATTCAATTTTTAAGTGTCAGGTATGGCAATGAATTTAAAATTTAAACTCAAACAAAAGACTGTTGTGATACGCTAGTAAAGAGACTGGAGCAGCAGGCTTTAGCAGCACATCTTATATTAAATCCAGAAGAATCCTGGGCAAGTGATGTTCTATACAAGTATGGGAAAAGGATGACGTTCTATGTAAGTATGGGAAAAGGATGTACTTGTTTGGAGGACCTGTTCTGAACTTCTTAAAGATCTTCTCAAGACTAACCAATAACACAAGAGAAGTGCACCTGAACATTTTTTTTAAAGACTTCCTGCCTGAGTTCAAGCTGCTTAGATGCTTCTTAGTCTTAATACATTCCCTGGCCCTCCATTGCAGCAAGCATCTTAGCGTATGTAACTTGTGTTAACTTTATGTGCTTATGAAGACCTGATGTTCTAAAAACTTGGATTGAAACTGCGATCAGTGAGATGACTGGCTCTTCAAGAATACTGAAACTTATGCAGATAGACATAACCACGAAAAATGAGACCTTGACAGATGACTTATTTGCTATGGAGCCATGATACCCATGTCTTCTCAGCTATCCCTTTACAAAGAGGAATGCATCATATGGCCTGTCGATGTGAGATTTCAGGAGTCCAGCACTCCTGAAATTATTGGCCTGAGCCAGTCAGCATTCAGACAGTTCCTGAGATGAGCAAATCATTTCTTGATCACGTAGTACTAAGCATATTATCTCCTGATACTCATGGCCTTAACATCTTAAACTGCCTTACTGGTTGTACTGTCTTATGTGCTGAGCACCTTCGGTTTAATTCACGGGATAGATACCTCCACACAGTAACCGTGCCTTTTATTGCTGAACAGTTTAAGCTAAAGAACACCATGACCCCCGAGGAGGTTCACTGTGGTATATTGTACCAACATGATGGTAAGTTACTCTTGCTTTGCTGGACTATCCTAGGCAAACCTAGGGTTGAGAACATTTATTAAGGTCAATAGAAGTGCTATTACTGGACTACTTGAAGGTAAGATAGACAAAATGGTAGAGAACCTAATAGTTGTGTGTTATTGGATTGAATTACATGTGTTATAGGACCCCCCCCCCCCTTTTTGAGACAGGGTCTCACTATGTAGATGAGGCTGGCCTTAAACTCACTATGTAGCCCAGGCTGGCCTTGAACTCACAGCAGATTACGGGAATGTGCCACCACACCTGGCTCTATAGACCCTAATTTAATAGCACTACTAAGTTTGATTAAAGAAAAAGAAGTTACTTTACCTGATTACCAGTCATGCTAAGAGTCAGTTTAACCCACAGACTGCCAACTGCATCAGTTGATAGAGCTGGACTTAGAGGGTCTTTGAATGTAATATCTACTCGTGTCATGTTGCAATATATGTACACCTTGAATTGCAGTACATGTACAAAAGAGATTTTAGAGAGTGAGTTCTCACTTGAACAGCCTCCTTGCTACTCAGGTCTCACTTTTGAGCAAGTCACTATAGTTCTTCCTGACCAGTTACAAAACTGGTATGGTGATCCATCGACTGCGCCAGTTCTAAGACTTGGAGGAGAGGTTTTCTTAGCATTATCTCAAGAAGTAAAAGAACTTGACATGATCCTTGATTTGAGGCAATGTCCAAAAACACTTAGAGAAATTATCACTATGTCATGTTGTGCTTCATACAGCCTTATTACTACCTGCATCATTCGGGAATGGGGTAAGTAGATTCAGAAGTAAAGTTTGGTGAGCATCAAGATACCTGAGAGTCATTGCCTACACCCCTGAGGCATCTCCAACACTAGAATGGTTTTCTAAAGCAATCTTTAGTTTGTTAGATGTCAATGAAACTGATCTTGCTTTTAAGCTCAAGCAGACAA